ATCGATGTTATTATAACTATTTATGATTGGTATACCCAAATCAATAAACCAATTTCTTCCAATCAAAGATGGACCTGATTCCACCAACAGGCATAAATCACCATTAAACTTAGTCGTGCTAACTGGGTCCAATACTCTTCCTACAATTGACAGTTTTTTTTTTATCATTTCCCCACGTCGTAAATTCACATCACTCTTTTCCAATGGCATCTCTCCAAAATATTCAGTAAATTTTTTCTGGCTCATAATGGAGTGACTTGCACCTGAATCGGTTTCCATTTTTACCAGTTGATTGTAAATGTTTACTTCTTGTTTAAACTTTTTTTATCTGGCATAAAACTGATAGAACATACTCCTTATTCTCGCCTTTTTGATTTGAAACTCGATTCACGTTAGAACGATGATGTTTTAGGTAATGTTCATGGTAAAGAATACAGGTAGTCGCATCAATACAGCTACTGGGACAAAGAACTGCCAAACCGATTTTGAAATTGAAAATATTGAATGAAGATTTATTGAAATTTTGTAAAAATTGTTGAGAGATGCTTCTTATAACAACCTCCGATTTGCGTCGTATAAGAAAACATATAAAAATCTACGTATTATTGATAAAACATTTTGAAAATCAATGTTCCCAAGCGTTGATGCATCTACTTGTATTCTTCTTCCATGGTAATGTTATGGTTTTTTCGCCTTTGTTTTGGTTATGCATGCTCTCTCTCTATGTGCCCCTGTTCTTACAGAAAAAAACACTGTTTGTTCTTAAAACGGCAAGTATCAGCTGTGTGATTACCATTATATCGAAAACACTTCTTAGTTTGTAATTCCTCGAAATACTCATGTCAGACCCACCAAAATATATATATTGTTGATCAGCGTATAATTCTAAGTCGATTTAGCGACGTCCGTCTGTCTGTTTGTTGTAATCACGCTATCTTTCGAACGAATTGAGATTGAAGGTTTAAATTTTGCACACATGTTTATTTTGCCAGTAGGCAGATTATATTAGGAAAATGGGTCATGTTGGTTCACGTCTTTATATAGCCTCCATATAACGGTACCTACCGACATTCGGTACTTTGATGATTTTGGCGACATTATCCGCCGGAATTGTTTCAAATTTGGCATTTAAAGTTCAAAATGGATAGTACCACCTAAGACAGAAAATTGTCTGTCCTAGTCTTCGTATAGCCTCCTATAACGGTACCTCCCTATATTCGGTATTATGACGATTTTAGCGTCATTAGTCACCGGAGTAGTTTAAAATTACGTATTTAGAGTTCGTAATGAGATACACTCTGTGACAGAAAATTGTCTACACAGGTCCAGGTCTTCGTATAGGCCCAATATATCAGTACCTCCCAATATTCGGTATTTTGACAATTTTAGTGTCATTACTCACAAATTACAAATTTACAGTTCGTAATGGATGCTACAGCCTGTGGCAGAAAATTGTCTATGCAGGTCCAGGTCTTCGTATAGCTCCGATATAACGGTACCTCCCAATATATGGTATTTTTATGATATTAGTTACATTATTCACCGTTCATTTCAAGTTTCGAATATGAATATTGTAATTTTCGTTTGCTACCAATCACAAACCAATCTGTCTCTCAGCATTTCATTTAAATCTTTAAAATCAGAATTCTGGTATATTTTACGAAGAACCGCTAAATATTCAGGAATTGATTCTTTTCCTTGCTGGTCTCGACTATAAAATGGAAATAGTTGTATTATGATATTTTCGTGTTGACAAAAATACTTTTGTAATAGTGTTATTGCTTTTTCAAAGGTAAACGCTTGATCTGTTATGTTTCCTGGTGTCGCAATTGACTTGACTTGAACATTGGCTATAAATAAGGGGAGGAACTACACTTACTATCACTTGCAAAGACGTGTTCTAACAAGACAATTGCCAAATTGGATGCTATTCGACCTTTGATTACGGTTCAAGTCTTCGAAATAGAAAATATCGGTCAGTATGGGGTCATATTTCTTGGCTTGATAAAAGATAGACAAACACAAGCTCCTTTACTTGATTGATTGATTTCGAACAATAACAAATATGTACATAATATAATAAAATTTAATTGTGATAATTTTAGATATATAAATAATTTCCTGTCCACTCTTGCATATTATTAATCAAATGTTTATTATCTCCATTATATCTCTTTTTTGCTGTCATTCGTCTATTGGATTTTCACGTCGGCGTCAAAAATGTTTCTTGTCTTCTTAAATAATTCGCCTTTAAGTTCCATTCTTTAACAACGAATAACATAATTAATTATACGTATGTTTTTAAGCATCGTAGGTTATTTTTCTATCGCCATTTAATTTCGGACGAGTTACCCAACTTGTCCTTCATTGTTTGACAGAGATACTTGAAACAATAGATTCGTTGAAATGTAATTCGGCACAATAGTTTTATGGTATTTAGGATCGTTTACTTAAAGCCCCCATATAACGGTATCTCCCGATTTTGCAGACACATTTCCTCGGATTTGTCTAAAAATTGGTATTTGAAATTCGTATTGGTTCCAGCTGCGATGGCGGAAGAGGGTACCTCCAGATATTCGGTGTTTATACGATTTATGCCACATTTTTCGGATTTTGTTTAAAATTCCAAATTTGTAGCTCATAATGGAGTTGTTGTTTCCACATAAGGTATTCGATGTTTAGAAGATCCTCGGAATCGTTTCGAATTTGGTGTTTGAGACCTGATAATTTTATTTAAAAACATTTTTTTTATCAAATGGTAGAAGGTTTTGAATGCTTGCTATTTGTTAAATATTAACTCTTAATCTGTAAAGCTCACATTGTTAATCTGTAGAGCTCACAACCATCCTATACAGGAGATACTGCACTCATGTCTTTATGTGAGATGAGATAGTAGTATCATAGGCATATTTTACGTTATTGAAAAAACTGTCATTGACTATCTTCTTGGGACCAGATTTATTTTGAATCCGGTGCGGAAAGCGTCACTGAGTTTTTACATTAGCACTGTGGTAAACTCCAAAGTCGCAAGTGTTTCAAAGTTGCAAAACTTTAAATTGTATTTGCTCTTGATAATATATTGGAAGATGTATTATTTTCCTTAAAGAAGGTCGCCGCAGGGAATAAACTCTTACCGCAGTCTTTCTTCATTTTAAACGATTTAATGGCAATTTCATTGTATAGTTAGTTAGACTCGCGGTCCATTGCATCGTCATTCGAAGTAATTTTTCATATAGTGTTTTTCTTAAAAACGACCCTCTATTCCTGTTATTGAAAACCTTTGATATCTTATACTATTTATTTCCATCTGCTTCTTTAATTTTATTATTTAATTCATGGACAAACCGAACTGAAGATGTTTGAAAGTGAAACAAAACACAAAACATGCATACGCTGTTGCCAAAAGACAGTAGCTAAAAATCAACCTCTTCATATTAGGAACCTAAATTCCCACCTACATTTGAAGGAAGTGGTTCCACTCGACGTAATGTTTTCACTTGTTTATTTGCATGAGTTCAAAAGAAGTCGTGTTGTGGAACATCCGATTTATTTCTTAATGTTGAAACCAATTATTCGAAAACAAATCTGTATAATTGTAATTAAAATTTCAAGTCCATAATTCCCACATTCTTACCAAAAATTAAGAGCCATCGATAGAACAAATTGCAAATGAAAAACGTAATCGTTTGTGAACCATGAATGATCTATCCAATAGCACGGCGTAGCGACGAAGTACAAAACGGTTGACGAAATCTCAAAATATATTTACGATTTGTTTACTTTTTGTTTTACCTTCGTACTGTAATTTCACTCACATTAATTGTTTTGACAAGTCGTCTTGGTAAAAAAACTTGTTGAAAACGAAACTTGTTCCCTATCCTTGACAAACAGAGTACCTATTGATGGTACCATGCATATAAGCATTACTAAGTTCAGCATTTGTCAATTCACACATGTAGTTTGGCGGTATAAAGGATTACTTTTTGGGAGAGGGGTCGAACTAAAAAAGTGACATTTAGTTCCTTTTTCTTATAAGACTTGTTTTTCCGAAAATTTTCTCCGTCTGTCTACGTACATAGGCAGTGTGTTCGTTTCCAATAATAAACAGAATATAAATTATTAAAAATAATACAAAACCGACCTCGTATCATGATTGTGTCATGTTTATACAGCATATTTGGAATCAAGCATCTTGGTGCAGGAGGTTTATTCCCTGAATAAAAAACATCATTTACTATTAATTTGAAAAACCTTTTAATACATCTACAGTCTGTTGGCTGGCCCAACACCTAAATATTTATTTGTCTGAGGCTGCTAAGTAAATTAATTAATGTCTCTCTTGTAAACATAACTAACTCATTACTTAAAGCATTGAGTTTAGTTTTGTTTTTATTTTGTAGTTAGTGTCGAATAGGCTACAGACTTTCGTGTTACGGGGTTTTTAAACCGCGAATTCAATAAAAACGAGCGTGATAAAACATACCATCGAAAGCGATGTGAGAAAATGCTTTACCGATTCGGGTACACATCCATAGAAAATCAGATGTACACAATACTTTTTGGTGGATGGTCTCTTTCGTTTTGCTTTTCAAGTTCATGTCGAAGCAAATCGTTCGTTTCTCACTTTCCCCTATGATGGAGGCAAATTGTTAATGGTATGTTGATGTGTTTACAGCTCGAAAGAAAACGAAACTGGTTCCGTATGCTTAATCGATTAGTATTCTGCAGTCGATGAAGACAGTACAAGCACTCCAAGCACTGTTAGTTGCAACATTTGAGCAACAAACTTTTGTAGGAATAGAGCGCAAATAGGTACCTTCCCACATTCACATATGCGTGTGTCTGTATACAAACATACGCTGACTGTTTTCATTTTTCGCTGTGAAATTTAAGCCTTTCAAATTACTTATCGGTTGCTTTGCTTTGGACATTTTATTTTAAATGTAACACTCTAATCTACATATAATGACTTTATGGTTTCAGTCACCACATTCACTTACAACACAATAGCCACTCAGCCCTTGTTATATTTTGGATACGCCGTTGTTCTTTTTTCTTTGTTAAAATATAAACGACACAGTATAGATATATTTTATTTATAATTTTTTCTTTTTTAAATAATGCCTTATTTTTTGTTTGCACAATTTATTTCACCAAAAATAAGTTTTGACAGTTTCACGACGGTTTCTCTACCAACGTTTTAAAGGTACGTGTGATCGCTTTAAGCCACAGATGTATACTGTTTAAGCTTTACGGCTAGTAACTGGTTTTTTCATGCTTCTTGTGTTTCGGCCAACGAAGTCAGTGGCCAAAGCAACCCATAAACTTGATGTGCGTGTATGTAACAGTGATGAGGCTTGGTAGTATGAGTACGGAACGCTAAAAATGTTGTACCGGCTGAATTTAATTAAATAAATTATGTACGACGTAGGTTGCTTGGTTGGTGTTAAGCCAATTTCGCACCTGATATTTGTAACGCCTGGATATAGTAATGGTATACCGTGATGTGAAATGCATTTAATTGCAAAGATTGATTTGCTTAAAAATATTTGAATAAACGTAATTTTGGATATGTGTGTTATCGGGTGTTTTAGTCATATTATTTATTTCAGCGCTTTAGTCATAATTTTGAACCAAATTTACAGTAAAATGGCAGTTTAATTTTCCATTGTGTAGGAAACTTCCTTGTGAAGAACTGTAAATATAAGTTCATGTTTTGGTATAGTCCCCGTTATATGGGGTACCACCAAATATTCAGTATTATACAATGGAATAATTTTAAAGTTGTTTTTTGGTGTTCCCAACAGTTATCATCTTCTCTTCACAAGAACATCATGTCTTCACGCAGCCCCCATAGAACTGACCTACCGATATTCGGTAGTTTGAGTTAGTAATGGGTATCACCTGTTATAAAGGTTCAAGGTTCATTTTGACAAATTTAGCCGCAATTTTCAACCACATTTTTTTTATTCTGACATAACTGCCTTTTACTATTTCCTTACTTATTATTATACCCTCCACCATACATAGTATGGAGGGTATATTAAGTTCGCCATTCCGTTTGTAACTCATCGAAATAATAATTTTAGACCCAAAAAGTATATATATTCTCGATCAGCGTAAAATTCTAAGACGATTTAGCCCTGTCATTCCGTCCTTCTGATAGGAATCAAACATTTTGCGCAGATCTGTATTTTGTTTGAAGGCAGGTCAAGTTCGAAGATGGGATATATCGGTCCACGATATCGTATAGCTCCCATATAAGGGTACCCCCCGATATTCGATATTTTGATGATTTTAGCCACATTTTTAATGGAATTGTCTGAAATTCCATAGAAGGGGTTCCTCGTGAGTACTTTACCCCCTAAAGGAGAATGTTTATATAGGTCCATGATATCGTATAGCCCACATACAACAGTACCCCCCGATATTCGGTATTTTTTTATTTTAGCCACATTTTTCAATGGAATTGTCTGAAATTCCACACAAGGAGTTCCTTGTGAGTAATTTAGCCCCTAAAAGAGAATTATTTATATAGGTCTACGATATCGTATAGCCCCCATATAACGGTACCTCCCGACATTCGGTATTTTGATGATTTTGGCGACATTATTCACCGGAATTGTTTCAGATTTGGTATTTAAAGTTCGTAAAGGATACTACAGCCAGAAAATCGTCTGTACAGGTGCACGTCTTCGTATAGCCCCCATATAACGGTACCTCCCTTTTTCGGTATTTTGATGATTTTGGCGATATTATTCACCGGAATTGTTTCATATTTGGCATTTGAAGTTCGTAATGGATACTACAGCCTATGACAGAAAATTGTCTATTTAGAGTTCGTACAGTCTGTGACACAACATATTTTATGCAGGTCTAGGTCTTCGTATAACCCCCATAAATCAGTACCACCTTATATTCGGTATTTTGACGATTTTAGGTACAATACTCAGCGAAATTGTTTGAGATGTCGTATTTGAAGTTCGTAATGAATGCTACAGCCTGTGAAAGAAAATTGTCTATGCAGGTCCAGGTCTTCGTGTAGCTCCGTAATATCGGTACCTTTGAAGATGCTACATTATACCCGTTTATAATATGGTAATGACTCATACCAAACAATGTCTAAATACCGGCTATATACGGTATTTTTCCAAGGATTTTCCAAATTCCTTCCAAATAGTGGAGGGTATTCAAAGTACGGCCCTGCCGAATTTACTGCTTTTTAACTTGTTAATTATTGAAAACTTTTTACACAATGTTGAAATCAGTTGCCTGGTGGAACTAAGTTATATAACACAATCAGTTATAACAAAAATGTTTCTTAGAACTTTAAAATTTTTTTCGATTTTTCTAATTGTGATAATTTTCGAATCTAAAATTGATAATTCTTACAGAAAATTTTCTGAAAAGAAGCGAAAATGTGTATGATTCCGCAGGATTTGTTCTTGGTAGATGTAATTTGGAAAATTCGTTTTGAAACTTGGCCAATTTCGGATAATTATGATATCAATTTAAAGTATAGTAAAGAAAGCGACGTTAATTACCACGCTAAAAAAACATAACAATATGCCAATCAAAATGTGAATAAAAATTATTGTTCTGATATACTTTCTGTTTTTCATCCTTTTAATGCTCCCGAGGTTTTTTCAATTTGACCCACAGTATTAAAATTTGTATTGTATTGGTGTTTTTTTTTTTTGAAAGTGTGTAAAAATAAATTAGTGCACAAGTGTGTCTTCGATCCTAAATGATGACCTTTCCCAAATTGTTGCCCTTTCAGTTGGAAAACGTGACTAGAATTGGTATCTCACATTACAACACTAAGACCTATATTGGGCATTTTTATTTCAAAATATGAAATTGTAGTCACTTCCAATGAAAGATGCTAATAAACCATTCAAAGCTACAAAAATTGCTGCATATTTTGAATCTATATCTATACAGAAGGAAAATGTTTGTATGTTTGTAATTTATGGACTCGAAACCGCTGAACAGATTTTCCTGAAAATTTGCATGTATATATATATAGGAGCTATTCGAAGACATGGACCTGCATAGACAATTTTTCCTATTACGAACTCTAAATATGAAATTTGTAACAACTCCGGTGAATAATGTCAAAATATTGAATATCGGGGAGTGCCATTGAATGTGAGTTATGCGATATCGTGGACCTATATAGAAATTCCTCTTTCAGGGGGTAAATAGCTTAGAAAGAAATTCTAGTATGGATTTTTAGATAAATCCAATGAAAAGTGTAGCTAAAATCGTCAAAATACCGAATATAGGGTGGTACCGTTATATGGGGGACATACGATATCGTGGACCTATGTAAACAAAACTCTTCCAGAGGGAAAGGCACTCAGAAGGAACTCTTTTTCGGATTTTAAGGCAATTTCAATAGCTTCCTATCTTTATTCGTTTCGACTCTAGCTTGATTACAACAGACGGAAGGGCGAACGGACGTCTTAGAATTTTACGCTGATCAAGAATATATATACTTTGTTGTGTCTAAAATTATTATTTCGAGGAGTTACAAACGGACTGACGAACTTAATATACCCTCCATACTATGTATGGTGGAGGGTATAAATTGAGAATTGCCAAACAAATTTATGAGTAGCACGTTCTGTAAACCAAAAGATTGCGTTAAAAATTGTGCTCCATTGACGTTTTTAATTAATTGAAAATTACATTTGGTGTTAAATGGCGTTAAATCGTAGTAAAAACTTTTACTTTTATGTCTTTGAAAATTACTCTGTTCCTACAACGACAATCTCACAATACAGCTTGCTGTAAACAATGCAGCTATCCAAAGGGTGGTACTATATAATAATAATTAAAACGACAAAACAAAGGCAAATGACCGTCTGGTCAAAAAAATATATACATCCGTTCTCGTTATTCCCGGTGAAATGTCCGTTTATCCGCTTTCGTCAGCTACCCTTTCCTTTAATTGTCTTACTAATACCCATTTACACCTAACCACACACCTAAAACCAATTAGAGTGTCTACTCCATCATCCATTGTTACATATGATTCTTAAATGACTAAATATATTCTGATAATCTGACAGCGTTACCTAAAAGTCGACGTAGCGTACACAAATTTTCAACTTCCCACTATGGAACAATGTTTTGCACGTCCATATAACCCAAATACGCCAGGCCTATAATTTTTTTATAAATATATTCTGATATTCTTACAGCGTTACCTAAAAGTCGACGTAGCGTACACAAATTTTCAACTTCCCACTATAGAATGTTTTGCACGTCCATATAACCCAAATACGCCAGGCCTATATTTTAGAATCTACCGAACAAAAACGTTGTAAAAATTGATGCTGTTTTAAATTCACTCAATTGTAATAGTTTCCCTTAATAAGCATTCACATGTCTTGTATTACCTATCTTCTATATATAAAAGAAAATTGTATTAGTTACTACGCTTATAACAAATTCGGAATTGTCTCCTGGCAGAAAAGGATAAAATCCAAAAAACGATTGAAAATGTAAAATTTGAAAATTTTCATTTTGACGTTTGTAATGTACAATATTAATGTTTTATATTCGTGTATGGGTAGTATAAAATGACAACGGAAAAAACTTTTGTTTATAGATCTTATGCATTTATTGGGTAAGTGGAACTATATGAATAATATCATTTCAGAAGAGGATAAGATATGAACAAAAAATCAATATTTTATAGGGTACGAACGTTTTTTCTTAATCCGATGAGAATGGTCTCTTGGCAGAAAATACAAAAAAAAATATTAAGTTCGGCCGGACCGAACTTTTAATACCCTCCACCTTAGGGCAAATGAATCATTAGAACCCATTATAACCCACAAATACCAATTTTTACATGTGCCAAAAATCATCAAAATGCCGCTATACAATGTTTCGCCAAAGGAGCTAGAACCCATTAGGGTCCACAAATACAAATTTTTAGACAAATCCGTGAAAAAATGTGGCAAAAATCATCAAAATACCGAATATCGGGAGGTACCGCTATATGGGGACTATACCAAAACATGGACCATTATATATCATATTCAATACCAATCATCCTAGATACAATACAAATTGTTCTGCTAAATTTTGACGCTCTGCGTCAAAAAATGGGGCTAATGAAACCTTCAAGTTACTTAAAATGCAGGTACCATTCTACGGGAAACACGACGCAATAGCGAGTAATAAAATGTGCTACAGCCAATCGGGGGATTGGATAATTCTGAGTGGAGTTGATA